GATTGAGTAACGCGATTGACATTTCTACCCGGACTTGGTAACCCATGAATTTCCGCATAGTTTTCGAGAAAATTCTTGACGGCGGTAGCAATGGTTATATCAATGGTTATTTTGGTTTTCCATCGCGGTATTCGTTTGATATTACCATGAATACGTGGCATTATACCATTCGCTGCTAGATGGTTTCTGACGTTTTCGAAGTGAGTGCGGCCAATTCCTAACATATTGAGATACGTTTTTTGACAAAGAGGTGTGTTGCGATCTCAATAATAAAACGTTCGCTTATTAGTACGCGTTTTCTTTTTCAGACGTCGGCTGGCCGTTATTTCTCCACCATTCATTGCTTTCAGTTGGGCCATTAAAAATATGTCTTGTTCGGATCTAGAGAGAGCTTGAAACGCTTCACGTAATTCGGCAAACTTTTCTCTCGGAATCTTTTTTGAGCAACCGCAGTTGCAACCTATTTCCAAGAAACGTATTGCTTTTTCAAATTCGGTAGAACCATTATAATTATAATTTTCCATATACGGGTAATCCTATATATATAATTTTTATCATTTTGCAATTTTATTAGGTACATTCATAGCAATCACTAATTGTAGCAATGGTTTCGCAAATATCAACTGCGGACAAATTCTAAACCAAACACAATGCTAATTATGAGAAATACTTTATCGGGAAAATCTTTTAACGTGCATAATTTGCTGTATTTTGTTTAGTAGAATCTGCTGATATTTCTTTTTCATAATCTCAGATGCAGTTACTTTCAAAGTGTCTTTCTCTATCTTCACATGCAAATTACTGCCCATCATGGTTAACGTCTAAAGCTCACTTAAAATCATCCCCTATTAGGCGAAGAACACGGTCTTCCTTGTCATGACGCAAGATCGTAACTTGCTTGTAATCATCCGAGTAGAGTACATGCCAGAACTTAGGATTTACACTTCGAACACGTTTGGAGTGATGACGAAAGTCAATAACAACCCATTCATTCATTGGAATTACTCCATATGTACCACCTTGTTCAAATCGCTTTGCATGATCCCCCAACTTTTTACCCTCGCGCATCAGTTCAACCCCCCAGCCGTATTTACCATCGACGTAAAAGTCAAGGAACCCATCTGAACCAAAGATATGCCCGACGTCAGCACTAATTGTCGCATCTTCTGGTATTGCAGTCTTTGCAGTACGGTACCATTCCATCTGCCAACTTCTTTCGAGCAAGTAGTTATCATACCCTCGTCCAAAAGAGTCGTTCAAGACAGTTGGAGACATTCGCTCAATGGTCCGTAACAAAAATTCATCAAATATGTCTGTAGGAAAACTTGGCATCTTGACAGGTGCAGTAAACAGCCGGTTGCTCAGGACAATCCGAAAAATGGGAGCAGCAAAATACATCTTTCTCATGTCATGGTCATCAATAATAATGCCAATCTTGACAAATATTTCAACAGTTGGGTGTCCAATACGGTCGATAGAATCAAAAGTCGAGTCAGGATCACACTTGAGTAATAATCTACGTAGAAAGTTGGCTTCCTGATCTTGCGGTTGCCAGTCACGTACCCAGTAAAAAGCACGCGATGCTGTTAAACGATCCAGAAAATCCTTTGAAGCAAGGTGCTTAAGCATGTCATTTGGTGACCCACCATCTGGGAATTTCTGGCGCAAATCTGACAAAGCTGTCCGGCACAAGCCAGCATATCCACGAGTAAAGTTGAATATTGTGTTCTCTACGAGTTTCGGGATGCTGAAGGGCCGGCCAACAGTACCACTCTGTCGCTTGTGGACATAATTTCTCACGAGCTGTGCAAATTCATTCTGAGTCAAGCGAAGGGAGGATAATAGAAGGGCATCTGGGAACGTCATCGGTGTCACAATATTGTAAGTCGGGTGATATGTGCTCAAGAGGAGTATCCGGAAGTTATGGCTGCGTAGATCCGATAAAATAAATTTCAAAGACCCCCAAAAGGACGCGGCAGTATTATAAATAACCTGTGCCTCATCGACAATAATCTTAATTGGCATTGTATACTGCGTAAGACTCTCCCAAGAATTATTGGTTTTCGACTCCCAGTATGCATTAAAACGGGCGTAGGTGTATTCTTCTTCTTCCAACTCCTTCGCAAATGCTGCTAGGTTAATATACACAGCATTAGTACCCTGAGTGCGGAAATGTTCTTGCAGCCGTCTGCCGAGCGTGGTCTTGCCCGAATATGGCGGACTGCGTACAAGGCCAACGCGGTGACTCTCCATATAGTCAGTGAATATCTTGAGACGCTCGGGTGTTATCACCATCAAACTGTCAGGGCCATCTTCTGCTTCTTCAGGTATTATCTCTTCACTTACTCTGTCGACTACAGGGTTAACAAAAAAGTTATACTCCACTCTATGCCTACTGCGCCTGTTCTGACAGCATTCGAACTATTCTCCCTCCATTGCTTCTTCTCTACTTAACCCAAACGTTTCGTATCTTGTTTATTTGCCTTTCCAACGAGTTTACGTATAACCCAACCTTTGCTACGACTCTGCTCTATGTCCCAAACCCAGCGCATGTCGTAATGCATTTTAACTATCCTCCCAATAAACGCGTATTCATTGCTTGCTTACCTTGTTGTTCTTTGAGGTATTTTTGATATTCTATTCTAACCTCGTCGTCATCAGCTTCAGGATGTTCTCTCCAGTATTGACGAGCAAAGGCGAATTGGTCCATGTTTGTAAGTTATGAGAAGAAACAAAAGAACGTGTAGCTGCGCGTTTATATCTGTCGCATATCACGTTGGCATGCATCAAATCAGATTGCCCTGTGATTGATGTTTGAAACTTGCAAAATCGTGCGTATGACGTTTACTTATTTTAATATTTGTCATACGACTAGTCCGAGTACCTACATTCTTTGTTTGATAGAACATTGTCTCTAATTGTCACACAATATAAGTTCTAACGTATACTGCCATAAAGGACAACAAAGACGCCCAAAATGTGCTTTATATGCTTGAAATAGTCTTTGTTTATCGTCAAAAGAAAAAGGATTCAGAGATAAATCAAACGGTTTTTGTCTAGACTTTTAACAAATCGGCTACCTTTTATGAGCGTATGAAATTACTGTATATAAAGCAAGACCGCCAGAATCTCTCTTCTTCATACCTAACGATCATCATCAATTTAAATTGATCGCAAAAATCAATCGTAAAAGTTATCTGATCACTTTTGACTTAAACAAATTGAAAATGCCCACTTTCACCAACGAATTCTATTGTGGATTACTGATCGGAATTCTCCTCAGCTTCATGCTTTATTATAAACTCCACACAAATAAACTTTACGACATCAATCAAAAGATTGATAAAATAATCAATTTAATCGAGCCTACGAAAAGGCGCAATAATAAATCAAGTAAACAATTCGGCGAACGAAGTTACTTACCAGACGTCGAAAGATTGTGGAAGAACTTTAAAAATATTTTGTACGCAGAAAAATACGGAAGAAGCTGAAAGAATCGATAATGATATCTCGACACAAACAAATAATGAGATTACCGAACCATCAAAAGTCGATACTGAGATCAGCCCTAAGATAAATGAGGGAACTAACGTTAACGAAATTAGTGAGAATGTTATACCCCAATCTCAAGAAATAAAAATGTGACTCCATACCTTGCATAACGGGAAAATAATATGTCCTCTTTGATTGAATCGCATTCTCAGATTCCGGTGGAAGGAATAGAAGCGATCTCTGTTATGGCAAGCACTTGATGTCACCGCTATCGGCACATATGTTACTTACTCTGGCGTTTCTCTCGCCATTTTCGGGGTAGTTATATAATTATACACTACATAGACTATAATTATACCACTTGGCCTATCATTGAAGTTTGTTAATTTTACAAGAAATATATGTCAAGTAAGCTTACCAAAGTAGACTCTGTACAGCATTTAGTGTGATGCCCTTCCTAAAGTCATCCCTTTTACAATGCTGCTATTATAAAACTATTTGGCTAAAGTTTATAATTTAAATTCAAAAGTGATAAAGTTATTGTGTTGCGAAATAACGGTCAAAGCAGTAAAAAGGTCGCATTGCCAGACTAAATAATAACAATGCACAATGATATGATTACGAGCTGAGGCTTTTGACACTGTAATTAGACTAATTTAGAAAACTGCCTTGTATATATGCTCTGGGTATTAGTATTGAAAATTGTGACCGGATTTTTTACGCGTCGTTGACAGCTATTTTAAGTCTGCGCGAATTCTAAGAGCTCCGATTAATGTGACGTCACATGTTCACTTTGTATTGCTATTTGTCACATTACGATTAGACAATGAATGTACACAAACCTGAACCGCTGATCTGCAAACACCATACATTAGTCTTGCTGTTGTGTCCGCATTCTTGTGATTACCAACTACACACAGCTCTTATTGAGTAGGACTCACACAAGTCAACCTGACATCAACATTCAACCCAGGCTACAACACGCTCCGTTCCTGGACCAATACACTCTATGACCTCAACAAACTACGACGTTTTCTCGAAATACAATCTCTAACGTGCCACAAATATTTTATCCGGTGAGTGAAATAATGCACAAGAAGAGCATAGATAGGTAAAGAAGCGTTCGATAATATGCGATGAACCAGTAAACGTAAGCTTTCGATATAACAACAAAAATAGAAACAATACGACTCAAATACTGCCAACCTTTAAACAGCTTGTTTACCATAAACTTACTAGCATAAAATCAATCTGGCGTGCACTTTACTATTCTTTATATACAACTATAGTCGGCATACATTGCACCAACAGAACGACCACATACAGAGCAGAGTGTGAAAAGAGGAAGAAGAGGCGAAAGAGCAAGTACTACGCGCTGGGGCCGGAAGACAAATCCAAGACGAGCCAGACAGAGCAAATATACAACACACAAAGACTGCCATTGCTACTCTGCCCAACGTTCTCTTCTCTCGTCTTGTAACCGATTCTGTTCAACAGACGTTGTGCCCATATACCTATATAGAACTGCAAACGATTGTCAATGGCAAACGGTGAGAAAAGATTGATACAAGAAGATAGAATGGAAAAGAGAAAAGCAACAAAGAGACGTCAGACCGGAACCGCTAAAGACGACTTTGAGGTATGAAATATGCTTGGCTTGACTAGGTTTATGATGTGATATGACAGAAGTTAACAACTAGTCATGTTTTAATCTTGACTTTTAGTTTTAGCCAATATGCATTATAATTAAGACAGTAGATTTGTTATTTTACACATTCTTACCTCAATCTTCTCTATTCCTTACGTACAACGAAATAGCTGAACCAAACTCCACCATCCTCTCCACGCCTCTCCCCACACATTACTCCATCTTCACTCGAGGCACCATCACAACTACAAGTCCAATCGCAAACTCACAGTTTACTTACATCTCAGTCTCACATTCTCACCGTATCACCTCCTCCCTCTCAGTCTTCGTCTCGTCCATCTTCACCAACACCATTGGAAACGTCGCCCCTGATTTCACTGCCTCTCCGTCCATCTACTCCTACGCATAAACATTCAAGCAGTCATGATTCAATTATTACGTTGTTTGGGCGGGATAATGGAGGAGATAAAGATGGACACGCAAGTAATGGAAATGGTGTGATTATAAATGGTCCTAATAATATGAGTAATGGTAATATGAACAATAGTGTAGCCGGGAATACAACCACGCCTAATGGTACGACCATACAGTACAATCGCACAAAACACACTTCTTCCTCATCCTCATCCTCATCCTCGTCACCGTCATCGTCATCATCATCACCGTCTTCATCACCATTGTTATCTGCCACTACTACCATTGCTATCAACGAGGATATAAAATGTCTTCCAAGCGCCTTTAGTACGTCTTCACCAGCCATTACGACCACTGCTACACCGCAGCTTTCCACACGAACCCATCCGTCATGTTCACGCTGCCCGCCCGAAGTCTTCCTTACAATCTTCGAGCTCTTGTGTTCAATCCATCAAAGTTCGCTTTTTTCATGCATTCTCGTGAACCGGGAATGGAATTTTATTGCTACGAGTGTTTTATGGAGCAATCCGCGTTTTTCTCATATGCGTGCATTGGATAAATTTATTGGAACTTTAGAGGCGGGACTTCGGGTTGGATCCAAAGAAAGGATAGAAAATAAGAGTGTTAAGAAGGATAGAAAAGGGATAAGTAGCGGTGAAAATATAAAAAGGAGCGGTATTGGTCGTACGCGACGAGAGAGAAAGGAAGTTGGGTTAACGGAGGAGACGACAAGTCGAGTTAGCAGCCAAATAGATGTATCGCAAGTGGAAGGGCAGCTTGAAGAAGCTGATAAAGCGCTACAGGTGGCAAAAGACGATGAAACAGATCAGTTAGACAATGCAATATCATTATCATCCTCATCATTATCGCCATCATCATCTTCATTACCAAGTGCATTATCTCAATCAGCATCAGCATCAGCATCATCCCCTCATCCATCACATCTATCATCATCGCATGGCCCATCGCTACCCTCGATACCACAGTCCCATAATTCACGCTTGTCCAATCCATATCACCACTACCAATCCTACGTCCGGACGCTCGACCTAACCCACTTAACCGAACACGACCGCAACAGCTCTACCCTTTCCACACATCTTCTTCGCCTTCTTCCTATTATTCACGACGAAGGCTTCACCTCTCTCAACCTTTCCTTTGTGAAAGGTATCACTAATGCCTACCTTACGAAACTACTGTCCCCTTTTTTATCTCACATCAAAACTTTAAACCTTGCCGGCGGTTCTCGTTCTGATTCTTGCATATCGTCTGTGATTCCGAATTGTCTTTCTGTACAGCATTTGTCACTCGCGTGGAACACGGGAATATCGGATTCGAGTATTGAATCCGTTGCGGAGCATGTTGGTTCAAAGCTGCGATCGTTGGATTTGACCAATTGTGAAAAAGTTAGTGACAGAGCTTTAATAGCAGTTGCCAAGGGATGTACTAGGCTAAGAGTATTAAAAGTGAGTTATTGTAGGGGTATTAGCGAAGAAGGTATTAGCGAAGTAATGAAGAAATGTGAAGAGCTGGAGATATTGGATGTGATTGGCTGTTTGGGAATTAATAACGAATTCGTTAATACGATCAGAAACTGGGGCATAGGAAGAGGAGTTATGGTTTACACTTTTAGTGGTTCCCGCCGTGGTAACTAATAAAGACCGCAACAACTGATCAGGAATCCTGTGGGATGAGCAGATGAGTGGAAGAAATGGTAATGGTTAGACGGAGCGCATTTAAAAGAAGAAAGTCAAAAATAGTTGTTTGTATTAATGTAAAGTTTTGCTCTTGTTGCTCCTTCTTTTTGGTAATTAATTAGTTCAGAATAAGAATCATGATATTTATTGATCATTAAACTCAATGTTTGTGCATGCGAATTTAAAAATTTACTCAGTTTGCTACATTTTGCACAAGAGACTTGATACGAATAATATCCGCTACTAATAGGTCCAACGAAAGACGACCAGAGCCTTTTGCTTTCCTGGATGGATATTTCCATGGACATATTGATTTCAACAGCTGTTTATTACACGCCAAGATATTATAAATAATTACATTGTTTGTCAAAGATATCATAAAATTTTGCATGGTCTGTAGAAAATAAATTCGAAACGTTATAATACGATTAGAACTTGTACATTTGAGAAATTGAAGATAGAAAGTATGTATTCTTTTGTTCGAAGCCGACCTTCAATTTTTGTATTGTGTACCGTGATCCATGTCCAACACCCCAAGCATGCAATCATCATACTAATTATAATTACTGTTTAATGCATTTAAAGCTTTGAACTCCTTCCACTGCATCAGCACATTATATCTCTCCTTTAACCTCTCTTCCAGTTTTCATTGATATATTATTGCTGTTTTCTTAAACGTTTTTGTGATATAATGAGTGCTGAAGCACTAGAGGCGACAATACGCGTATAATGTCAAATGACAATGATCAAGAATATTTAAAGAGCGTTATTGTATATAAATATTTAATAGAATCGTTTTTTTGTCTTTGAATCGCTGTTCATAATCCATCAGATTACTGCCCTGACGCGGACAGCCATGGGATTTATGAATGGCTCCCCCAACCTTACAGGTGTATGAGCCATTTTGCGTGTGACGAATTGACAAGGGTGTATTGCGACTGGTTGTTTTGCATGATTGTTGTTGTTCATGCTTGCCTAAATATTTATAAAACAGAGTTGAGTTTGCAAATTAGCCTGCAAGAAATTAATTGTCAACATAATAATAAATCAATTACTCACATCACTTCTCGTTTGATTTCTGTGATGTCTTCGTTTCTCTGCACCCAACTTTGTTGCATTTGAAATATTGTTGTTTTGTTTTCAGGAACTGTTGGAGGGAAAGCACGTGTCTTCCTATAACGTACTGTAAACTTCTTTCTTCAGATAATTAACTTCTATTTTTCTCGATTATTATTGTGTGCGCGATTTCGATACGTATAGTGTATTTATTGCTATGAAGATCTCACGATCGATCATGATGTATTTTCGTGCAAGCAAAAAAACCGCCCATTATCTCTTGCACTTATCTAGCAGTTAACAATTATCTTAACAGCATTAAATGGGTTTTCTTTACTTAATATACTGGAAGATCACGTGCAACTTTTACAGCACCTACGCTAAAGCTAAAATTATATCCCCAATTCAAGTTGCAGAATGATCTGATCTTTCAGTCAGTTATAATGCATGGGTTATTGTCCTTGTCGTGTCCCAAGCTCGCCCGATGTTATGACGTTAAAATTAACAACTTTTGTGCTGTGACTTCAGCAATTTCTCCCTTGGCTTTCACGCGGATCAAGAGTATTACAGTAATAACAATGTGCTTTAAATACAACGTTTATTATATGCATGCAGCTAAACTTAATATGACCGTATTTCACTGATTGCAAAAAAAAAGTAAATATTAATAACGGATTATAATACTACAAGATAATACGTTACAAAGGACGCCAACAAGAATACCAGCCACATAGAAAACCTTTCCATTCAAAGATTAATAGTTCATTCCTCTCACGATCTCCTCCTTTGCCTAGTCGTTCGTTTCAATGTCCACACCACCTACGTTGATCTGCTCTCTACCAGAATCATCTAATTACATTCCCCCCTCGTAATGACAATCTACTCTCATTCTCCACGACATCCAGTTGTCGCCCTTTGAACACTCTCCAGAATCTCAAAGTTTCGTCTGCGCCTCCTGTAACAATAGATCTCTCATCGGGTGAAGTAGCAAGATAGACTACGCGGTCACTATGACCGACGAGTTCATTTGTTGGAGTAAGACAAGGATAGCGCCAGATTTTAATATCATTCTTGGAATATCCATGTGTGGAGACTAATTCGTTTGCATTAACTGACCAGGCGAGGTTTGTTACCTTTAAATGTTTTGAATTTTGCGTTGAGAGTTGGGAAAACTGAAATAAGACTGCAACAAGGTGGGGCATAACATCTCTACAAGTTTTGCTATCTGAAAAGTTGATACAATACCTGTGACCCAGTATCACAAACGTCTAATCGCTTGCCAGCATTAACGTTCCAAATTTTTATTTTCCTATCATGCGTTCCGCCACCAGTAGCCAGCAACCCACGCGCATGTGGACTCCATGCAAGAGCCTTGACTGCAGCATGATGTTCTCGGATACTATAAAAAGGTATGTATACACGATCATCCCAAACAAGTGCTGTGTTGTCGTTTCCTCCACTTGCTAGGAGTGTTCCGTCACTGTTCCATTTAAGGCCGCAGACCTCATAAAATTCGAAAAAAGATTTAGAGACATGGACAAGTACACTTGTAAATTGAATGATATTTGTATCTACCTCTCCATGGTGACCGGCTAAAACACGTACGGTAGGACCGGAAACGCGTAAATCCTGTTGAAGAATTATACCGCAGGAGCTTCCGGTGCTAAGAATAGGTTCATTACACGACATTGAAGCTGTTCAAGCACGAATCGTAAGATAATCACGGTTCAGACAGAGCGTTAAACAACTAAGGAATCTAGTAATAAAAATTGCGTAATGCCAATTCAATATGCACTAAACCACTTACCAACGCGTCCTCGATGTTCAGTCAGTCTTCGTAGTTTTTTTCTCGTCCTCACGTCATATATATTGACCAATCCGCGACTCGTTCCTACCGCGATATACTCGCCCTATTTAAGAGTCAAGAGCTTGATTCACGGACAATGCAAAACAAGGGAGAAAAGGCAAACAAACAATGCCGTATTTTCACAAATTAAGGGTTCCCCTACCTGATTTAACCAGAGCACAGACGTTATTGACTCCCGATGTGAGTATTCGCATAGTTTGGTAATCTATAGATAGTAATGAGAGTGAAGTAGAAGATTATTCATATCAGGGAAAGAAAGAAACCAAAGGAACGAGAATCAACCTCCACCGTCTTTGCGTTCCATAGATACACCGCGGCACCCAGACCAACAGCTATTACGTTCTGTGGTGACCAGTCCAGCAAATTCAAGTAAAAATCATCCTACAAAACGAAGACGTTAATCGAGTGTCGTAATATTTATCGAATAACTCTGCAACCTTTTTGTATTCTTTGATCTTTGAACAGTACCTTCAACCCTGGCGCATCCAAAGCTCTAAAACAACATGGTCGTTCTTCTTCTTCATTCTTTCTGTCTTCTGGACGTACTCTGGTCAGGATGCTCTGAGCCTTATGCGACAACGGGCTTGTTGAATACGCGTCACGAAATGGCGAATCGATAATAGTCGTGCGTCTCATCTTGGCAGACGGTGATTTGAATGTCATTAACTGGTGAGATGTTGGTGTAGGACTAAGATCGAGGTAATCGTTATGGGTTGGAAACAAGGCCGTTTCAAGAACTACACGATAAAGTTCGTTTCCTGATTTAGAAATACAGAGGGAAACATCATGCAGCGAGAAGAGAGAAGGTGAAGGTCGAGAAAGAGAAGTTTTTGTGAACAGTTTTTTCCAGCACATACAGAATTAAGTGAGTTACCTTGATGTCTTCCAGAAGAATTCGTGTCTTTTCTCTTACGTTTATTTGACGCAATTCCAGATGGCAGTCGTAAAAATTCGGCCGCCGGGTCGGGAGACCTGACGGGGATAAATCTGTTTCCGAAAAACTCTTAGTCTTGGGGATCGTTCTTTTTTCGAATACTCATGACTTTTCTCTATTATATCAACGAGCCAGCTACAAAGTTCATAGTTTCTTACCTGTCCCCAATACGCGCTCCAGGCGGTGTAACGGGATAGGATTCGCAGAGACTTTCCCTTCGCCCGTCTCCTATTGCCACAGCCTCTCTACGAGAAGGTGTTCTCGGTGGTGAATCAGTAGTACAATCGTCACTCATTTAATCAAATTATGCTATTTTATCTCTGACGCTGTTGTAGAAAGACCCAAAGGGATATGGTGCGTCTTTGAATGGTTGAGGTAAATTCTATAATCCAATACGCTGGATCTGCACGTTTTGTGTTATTAGAGACAAGGGATTAACAGAAGTAAAGGGTTTATAGAATGAGAGAGTGGGTAGTTGTGACAAGTTCAAAGGTTGGGGTAAGTTTACGGTCAAATGAGTGGATTTTCGATTATGTAACGGATATACGTACATTTTGGGACGCGTTCTTCCAGCGTATATATATGTCAGACGCGTAGTAGCTGGGGTCGAACGGTGATTTAAATTCTCAATTAGTATTAGAATGTGCAGTGATCGACGGGATCGCGTGAAAGTTGAACTGTTGGATATAGTATGTAATAACGAGGTCGTTTCCCGAATTTTACCTGCGCACGAAGGCCGAGAAGCACAAGAATAATAACATGATTAGTCATGTTGATCAGTTCAAAATGACGTGAGATCTGTCATTCCGATCTAGTATTACTCTTCAAATCATGTTTCGCAGTTTCAATATAGAACTGCTTTCAGTATCAGCATTGATAAGAGTAGCCTGCGTTCTCATTGCTCCCGCGTTCTCATTCCTTCTGCATTCTCATTACCTCTGGTAGAAGAAGCTTCGTACCTTCTGACAAAATAGGCAATTACACACCTGCAAATGCCCCCGTGATTGAGTAACAGACATCGGCTGATTCAAGTGAACCGTCATACATGAGTTGTGATGTTGGATAATGAATGACAATGTAGCATGCGTCTGACTGTCGAAGTGTCGTTTATGCAAAAAAATTGATAGCCTGTGAGTAGATCTAAGGGCGTGTGAATTATTCAATTACGTTTTACTCTTGATAACTTGCTAGGTGCTGACGGCTGGTTATTATGTGCAAAAATCTTTGCGGCGCATATACCTTCGGGCCGCTAATGAATAAACGGTATGTCTCGATCGCTGAAAGCCTCATAAAAGAGATTCTAAATTGATGTTGCACTTTATTGCTGAGGCAAAGACAAAACTATTCGTTGAAAGGTTAACGTTTTTTATTAATTAAGCATAGCTTAAAAGTTGACCACATTCCGATATGAAGTTCGATGACGTGGCGCCAATATAATGTCGCGTTAGCAAGATGATTACAATCGTCTAATACTAAAGACGGATCTATATTTTTGCTAGAGAAGGACGTCTGTCAATACCTCAAGTTTCCATATTCTAGATCCTTTGTTTCGCTGACAGGTCATGTTTAAGCCAAACTCTCATAACATTTAGCTAGGTATCAAAAATTTTATTATCAGATGCGAATAATGTGATGTGATATCAATGCCGTAACCAGCAATTGGAAGTAAATCTTTTCTATTTTGTACTCTATGTGAGCTAAACGTAACAATACAAGTGCGCGCATTCGTTCTTTTGATTACTTTATATGTATTGGGTGACAAAAAAATAAATTTACAAATAATTAAGATATAAACCACCTCCATCGAATCTTACATTAACGAACCGTGTCTTCCTAATAAACATCAATAATTTAAACCCAACTCTCGATCCTGCTTATTTTCGGTCGTATTTGGAATATGCAAATTTCTCCAGAAATACTCCCAACGTTTCATCTAATGTCGGTCTTTGTTCTAGCCCTCTTTCTTCTGGTACATGTTTGTCTCTGACTAATGCTTCTCCGCTAACACCCTTGTTCTTAATATGTTCAACGGGATAATATCTTAAAATGTTATGTAGATGTCCCCATGGTCTGAATTTACCAGGTCCAATAAGAGTAACGTATATACTGCCGTAAAGAACTCCGAGAAGTGTAAAGCTGTCCCGGATGATCGTCCAGACTGTTGTATTTCGAACTGACGTTGTTTGGTGTATATCAAAAGAGGCTGTGCAAAATGTAAATGAGTATAACTTGTACACGTACATATACGTATTTCTCTCGACACATATACCCATTGAACTATTCATTCCATTATATTTGTATAAATAAATTTTACTCACCAGGTCTGATTCTAATCTGACTTTTGGCACTAACGCCAGGCACAGTCCAAGTGGGATCCCTAAACTCTTCAATGATTTGATACTGCACATCATTCGTTACTTCTCCATAGATATTAAAAGACTGTATTCGTGTGAATATGACTGCTCTATTCTTGTCCGTATCCACTAATAAGAATCTATTGAAATCAAACAACGAGCTTCTCTGCAATGGGTCGAATATATTCAGAAACAATGTAGTCACATTTCTAGGCTCATAAGAAAGGTCTCTCGAGTATGTAAGTAAAAACTCGGGCACGTTTGGGGTTGGGGGCGGATTACGAATGATAGACGCATTTCCTGGTGCTGCCAATATCCAGCAGTCGCTGACGATCGATTTTAACGTTGAGACCAAGGGATTATCCGTTGGGAATGTTTGTAAGAAGGCATCGGCAGAAACTGTTTCGCCATAGACGGTAACATTAAACGTATAGCCAGTGCTCTCGGAAATGCAGAAAGTGAGTGCTGGCGGGACCAATGAGTCGTTTGTTACCACTGAGAACGATTGAGTTATTACGCCGGCGTCTTTTATTTGTGCATAGAGATTGAAACCGAATATACCGATTAGCCCAACGATAAGAGTGATATGAAGTGCTCGAAGCGTTAATGGAATTGACATTGTGAATTGAGAATAATCGAACAAGGGACAAACAGTATCTCATATTTGGGAATGGGCATATTTATGATTATTTTGTTTGTGTAATTCATGAAAAATTGACCACATATAAAAAGCAATAATTTTTTATGCTTATGAGGGTTTATTAATGGTTAGTCTCTACGCTTATTCGTGGCTATGCGCTGAATGGTTTAGTTTCTACATTGTACCAGGTTACTTCCAATAAAGAAATTGATACGTTCATGCAAAGCGCTGATCAACATGACAGTACAAACCAATACAACAATAATCCCAGCCACGATATTAATAAGATCTTTATTGACAGCCAGCCACGATATTTAATCCGAAGTCGTACAAATACCAATCAACTTTAAAATATGCATTGGCTGAAGCAACTAAATTTCTTTTATATACCTTTTTTATATATAATTTTTCTCTTAATAGATCTTTTTTACAGGGCGCCGGAGATTTTGAAAAAAATGTTTGTCCTGAAAAGTATTTTGCAATATTTTACTCTAGTTTTCAAAAAGAATTCTTCATGACAACTAAGCATGACATTGTAAAATGCACCACGTCATGACTAATACTATAGACAAAACCGTATAATTTACAAATCGAGGGGAAACTTCCGACAGTCTTGGACTTTAAGTCTATAAATCTCGAGCTTGTTAAAACAGCTATTCTGTGATCAAATATGGATTATTCCAAATGCACTTCACCCCACCAAAGTTTCAAAGTAAATTTCGGCACACTGTAATAGTAACGACATCTTAATCTGTTCCTTCAAGCCAATAAAAACAGGAAGAGGCATACTTCTTTGTACAACTTCATTCTAATTGGTTTGTTCTATGTCACATGATTACATAATAATTACTCCGCTCGTAAGAAAAGTGTCAATAACTTTCTTCTCTACTTTTGAAGCAAAAATGGACCCATACACTCCATTATCGCAGTGTCATAAGTATCAAATCATAGTACGATTTGATGGTTTGATTATTTTCAGTTAGTTACAATCTAACCTGTTTGACCTCTGTTTCCCCTTTATCTGGAAACTACCCATCAACCACTTCTCCCAATCCACTCCAGCGACTTCACCAAGAAATGGATCAGCTAATCAAGCTTCATGCTCAATTACGCACTCACAACGTTGTAGTCGCCCAATGGGGAGAGAATATTCATGAAAGCAAAAAAGCATTCGAAGAAAGACGAGATAAAATGCAAATGGAAAAGAAAGACCGTAGTGGGGGAAACGCGAGGAAGAAAGGAAGCGGGGCGAAAAGCAAGAGACGCGCCAAGTGAAAGCGAAAGCTGATTTATCGTCGTGTATGTAATAGGTAATGTATTCAATATCGAAATGACCTGCGCTCGTATCGTTGCGGTAGTTTTTGCTCTTCTTGTAATTGTAAAACTAATCCCAAGTGTTGAACGTAAAATCAACCAATAGAACTTAATGAACATAACACGTGACAGAAAATTTGTCAACTTTTTTCCAAATGCTAAAGCTGTTCTGAAATAATAATATTAATAATAATAATAAAGGCCACGACCTGTTAATCTGCCACTCCTTTTTGTCGTTCAAGATTTTTTTCGCGCATCATCTCATAACCAACAATGACTCAGGTAAATACTATCCTCTTCCAAGATACAATAAACATTAACGACATGGACAGCGGGGGGAAGAAATTCGGAAGAGGTAACAGTGAAGCATACAACATAACGCCTGATCTCTAAATCTTCCATTCTTACATAAATTTTGCGCTTACAGTGTCCCGCTTTTATGGCTGTACGGAAAACACGGAATGTGACATAACCGTCGATATAAATACCGAGCTCTACCCACTCGACATTGGGGATCGCGTTCAGATCGTACTTGCGTCTTCTCTTGCACTCGACCCAGTAACTGGGCTACCGACCCGAACAGTCCGAGATAAGAAAGACAGCAAGCCAGGGGATAGAGACGATGATGATAGACAGCGTGAGCCATGGAGGCCAAGGTTGCCCGAGGAAAGGGACTTGAGTGATAAATATGAGTACGTTATGTACGGAAAAATTTACAAATACGACAAGGATAATCCCAGAGTGTATCCTTTTGACTGGTTGATTAATTGATTATGGCTACTGTAGAGAAAACGTGATTGTAAAGAAGAGACGACGAAAACCAAAACACCACAGAAGTTCACGCTTACGACATAGTGGCTATTGAAACTAAGGATAATTAGCGAATCGATTCATACTCACGGAATTAATATCGTGTTGTCTTTAATTCTTTTATTTATTTCTCAATTTGATTAGTGGAATATATGTTTCTTATGGTGGTCTTTTGATGGAGCTTAAAGGCAGTCATCGACATGTAGAGGATCTTCACGTTGGACAGCATGTCTATTTGCTTCTTCGAAAGACGGTTGGGTGACAAGGCCTGGTTACTTCTGGTTGGTAAAGAGTTTGAATTTTGCTTTTCTATTAAAAAGCTGATTAATAAATTTGGTTGTTTTTGTTTACGTTACTACTTATATCTCAAAGTGTAAGAACGTGGGAACATAATCATATATCAATTTTGGTCTACATAATATTCTAATCTTGTTTTCATTACAGTAGGTCTAGCATCGGGTCGGTGGCGAATTCTTCCAAATGATTGTCTGATCTCTTTATTAGTTGTACTGGTAATTGAACGTCAAGACGCACGCATGATTAATTAAATAAAGAAAAGTATACAGCATACAAGTAATTCTTAGCATTAGTTTAGTCAACGATGCACTATAGATACAATACCCAGACGAAAGTAAGTTCAATTGTATGTACAACTAATAAATAGAACCAATCAGTAGACAGATCTAGTGGTTATCGCAAACTTTCGTTGTCTTTATGATTTACATACCACAATTGAAAAGATCAAATCGTCATTTCTTATTATGCGCAACTTCACATTGTGTGTAATTGATAATGTATAAAGTGTTTGCCTATTACTATCAACTTATGATAGCAGATACAAGATTAAAATACGTTGTTGGTGGCATATAGAAAAGAAAGGATATGAAAGCGTTATAACGTTCGAAACATCAATACTCATAAAGCAGCATATTGAAATGCAGAAGGCATGGGTAGTGACATAGTAATATTTACTAAAATGTAAAATGGGCCAAACACAAACTATTTTTATTATTACTAATACTAATGAAACAGGCATTTGAACTTTTAAAATGGCAGCATTTGGCATTTACAACAAGGCAATGATTATAAACATCTTTTATATTTTAGTGTTGTTAATATTAAGGATTCATTGCATTCCAGACCTCAATCCCGTAAAAAATATGTGAGCAAATGACATGAAAGTGAAGATATTAATATTAATATTGATGATTGAAGTAGCTAGATTATAATTATATATATTAATATAGATGTGAGTTTGTTTTGGAGCATAATGGGGATAGGATAATTTTTATTGTTGTGTATTTATATTAGTATAATAAAGTACACAATAAACTTTCTATTTTAATCATTATTATTTAATTATCTTGTGTCATTATCATCATCAAGTTATTATTATCATTATTATGCAAGCCTTTTTTATAACACACTATATTAATATATTAATATATACATGTATAAACATACATATCATATTAATATTGTATTAATAATAATTAATCATCTTGACAAACTTAATGATCTCTTTGATGGAATAATAATAACTCATACACTTACACTATCAAAAACCACAAATTTTTCTAATAAAACTTTAGTTACATTAACACTTAAGACTTTCAGGTAAGGGCGAAAATTGAATGATGCAGATGTCTAATTGGGCCAAGGTAAATTCTGGACTACATTTAGTAAACAAGTATTGGGCGCTGGTTTATGTTTATTAAAAAAACTATCTTATTTGTAATAGTATTTTTTTGCATCCACATTACTCAATCATCAGTTACAGCTGTGTTCTCATTAACTTCAATAGACATGTCAACTGCTCCTTTGTCATACCCATTATCACTTCATTAAACACATTTAATTTGACATTATTGCAAGCAATGATTATGATAGCTATCAACGTTTAACATGGAAACTTTTTCATAATGTTTGAAGAGCGTTCTCAACGTATTCTGTACATATTAATTAATGTATCAGACTCTGCCTTTTACTATGGATCAACTGATTACTATCGTTGATATCACGATATACGGTTCTTCCGTTGATATGTTCTGTTTATTCGATATACAGTATTAGAAGGTTTCCAGGAAGGAAGAAATTCTTTTCGAATGCAAGCTAAAAATAGTTCGCTTGGCATTAGCCATGGTGCTAACGCTAACTTTACAATCCCATAAATTAAAATTAGTATTATTAAGGAAGCAACGTGCTCGTTAATCAAAACGCGATAGTCCTTCACTTCACTCTGGGCAACTAACACAACACACACTTCAATACTGATAGCTACATGATAATAACTAACGTGGGTCTTCGTTGCTCACGGATTGCCCTCTACTAAATGTAGAAACAGTGATGTTAAAGTATCATTCAAATTGCTAAATTACCGGTTATAGGTTCCGGCAAAACGGGTTTCTGGCGTTTCGCTTAGTTACAAAGCTTCTTGCATTGATCATTAAACCCCCCTTCAACCGGAAACACATAAGAGTCTCGGCTGGATCTATTTTGAGGCCGTAACAGAATCTGTGAAAATTTAAAATTGCTCTCACAAAACCCGGGAGGTGGGTTAATAAACAGAAAATACTTTTGTATCTAACAAATATTGAATGGGCTTGTTGAGATTACCCAAATCGATGAATATCGGTGTGTCAAAAGAATATTAGAAAGAAATGGCGAAAAATATATTTCACGATTCAAGTGAACAACGTCAATTAAATTTCTCTGTAAATGCAATGCAGCAGCACGAGACTAGAATAATTATGAAAACATGATTCGATTCTCTATATGGTTTGAATTGGGCTTTTTGAATAGCTTTTGCAAGTCTCAGCTTGCTAAATTTATTGCTTTCGATTAAGTGCTGTATCATGATATCAGTTTAAAGACATTGCAGATTTATAAATCCCAGCTGGGGGTGCTGTTTAGGTCTTTTTTACTTGACCTTTGCCTTGGAAATCGCTTCCACAATTTTTTTAGCCACTTTTATTGGGCGAAATTCTTATAAACGGGTTTGTTAAAAAAGATTGACCCACTAGAACAGCAGCAAACTGAGAAGAATAGTAAAAAGAAAGGCCGATACCGTCATTACCTATGGACTGACCTTTAATCTAATAAATGGGTCATTGTTCAGTGAATTCTTGTCAACTCATCAACAAACTTTCCAAGCTCCTCCACGGAAGCCCCCATCTCTGCTGCAATTGCGTTCTGTTGTTTCCGTGTACAGTCAATGAACGATTCTATTAGGTCACCGTCGATGAAATTCTTGTATTCAAACGTTCGGCGATCCATTTCGCATCTTCGCCAACTTTTGGCGAAAACGAAAAGACAAGAAAAAAGGAGGAGTAAACGTTTAATGAGCATGTGCAGACAATTATGACAAATGTATTGGGGAAAGTATATTAGACAGAGAGTCAGTAGCTCAGTCCAATTGACTATTCTCCCCATCATGAAAACCAAACCGCAACCTAAAAATAATGACATACTCTTTTTGTCTTAAATTTCCTATGGTGGGTGTCGTACGCCGTATACAGTCCTCTAGCTTTTGCAGATATTTAAACTTTTCTTCTGTCAGTGATGCAACGACGCCAATCGCTCCAGATAGACTGCCAAAGACAAGCATAGGGATTGCAGGTGGTTCGCCTTCTGGAAGGTGCATTGCAAGTGAACCTAGAAATTTGTAAAGAAAATCATATTTATAGATAGAAATTGATCTTACTAAATCGATTGTTTAAGGAAAGAAAACATACCATGTTTAAACTTATTGACCATATCACCAAAATGTATTCCACCCTCCTCTTCTAAACGAGCTCTGTCTTCTTCATCAGGGGCATCATTATTCGTTCTAACCGTAATTACATGTCCCGACGCATCACCTCCAATAAATTCTTCGTCATCTATTGTTTCAACAGCTGTTAACCAGTTCGAATTGTAATCCTTTGCAATCTCTTCGAATTTCTTTTCATCGTGTTTGTAAATAAGAAGGGAGAATGATTTTATCATGTCGCCAACGACTATAAAGTCTCCCCGGGTGGCAAGATAAAGGGCGAGAGTGTAGCCAGAATGGGTGGTCAGTTTGGTTAAGGCGCCTTGAGAAGTAGAGTCATTTGGAGGCGTGAAAGAGAAAAGTGCAACCTGATGAAGAACATGGAAACAAAATGGAACAAAATTAGAAACCGCGTATAAGTGAGCGTTGGAAGAAATTGTTCTTAAAACATGCTGTAATTCCGTTTATCGCGTACAATAAGCTATAATATTATCGTTCAAAACTCCCCCCTCATAGCTTTCTTACCGTCGAGTTAATGCTTGCTAACAACATGTCGTTAAATCCTAGCAGTGACGGAACAGTCCCGTTCACAGTCTCGATCGCGACACATCGCAATCCTCGGTCAAATTTCTCTGTTTTATTCTCAACACAGAATATTAGTATACGACCCTTGCGAGGATGTTCTTCGTCTGGAGGTGCATATCCGGTTCCGATTGCGTAGTATTCTGGCGCATCTTCGGCTGAAGAAAATTTGAGGGATGTAATGGATTCGACCATTTCGTAGACATCAAACGTGAACGAGTCGAGAACTATATAGAAGAGCGGTAAAGATGAGACAAAATTAGTCATCCAAATCGGTATTTTTTGATTATTGATTGGATTTAGACAATTTAGATGGTAAGAGTGCTTATAGCCTCTTGTAGAAAATTGCCATTAAAGCTATCGATCTGCTTTCCCGAGTAGCCTGATTCTAATTTCTAGTTTATATACTCACTTCCGAATGTCTTATCATCCATAAGCCTCAAATGATGTTGAGGTTCAAGTCCTAATCCTATAATTCCCATAGTTAATATTCCGAATGTGTGAGAGCTCTCTTGATACGCAATACGTCGCGGCATTTCATTCAACCGCAGAGTCTTGATATGGAGTTTCTGAATCTCGTCGATTGATCCAATCTTCAAACCATCTTCTGATGTGATTACGAGAGAATTAGGAAAAGAGGCCGAATTGAATGGACACATGAAATTCACCTCCTATACGAAATATTGTAGTACTACGTTAGAATCATTAATTTATTCGCCCCGTGATGATTGCATCTTCACCATATCTTGTACATTACCTTAACGTTAACATTCGAGTACATTAACTTTTTATCATTAGCATAGATGACCGTTGGTCTATCTGAAGCACAAAACACATATGACGATCCGTTCGTCATAAAAGTGCTCAACGCAATCGGTTGTGTTCCCAATGAAAATTTCTTCCTATCTGTCAGTCGGCTATCGCTTTTATGAAACACAAAATTATACAATGTTCCATCTCCAAGCGCGACTAACAGATAATGCATTTTGCCGAGGGTTACCAATAGCACAGAACGAGGAATGGTCTCGTTCCCTAGATGTTCACGGGTGACAAGAGAGAGCGAGGGAAGAGAAAGAATTCGGACCGAGTTGTCTGTCCACAGACCGACGGCTAAGACGGATGACGTGTTCGATAAGGTGGTTTTCGTTTCGCGTAGAGGATGAATGGTTAAACAAGCTATGTCATAATCTAGTTTTGTTTTGCTTTTCACGGAGAGTAACAATTTTGTAGTGTGAGAACAATATCCACATGATACGTGTGTTGTCGTACTTGCCGGTATGTTTATAACTTACGATGTCTCTACAAGCTGTCCATCCTTTACCTCGAAATATACTATAACTCCTCCACCAAGAGCAATAACCACTTGACTGGGATTTACGGACGCAACCGTAATTTTACTATTATCCGGAGGATTCCATTCTGTGACAAGTTTCGATTCATCTTGATTAATGTATCGAACGCTTGCTTCAGTTACCTATCGTGAATATCGGAAGTGAGCTATTTTTATCATCAATCGTAACGAACACAATTTTTGCTTACTTGAACTAGCATATTTTGCATCATATTTCCAGTCGCAAGAGTCATTTTATCCATCGCAAAACATGCAAAACTTTCAACTTCTTGCATTTCTTCTCCCTCGGTCATCGTCAAGACACGTGTTTCATTAATAAAAGTAATAACAAGAATCTCATCATATCTACAGAATGAATAGCACAAATGATGCGATATAACGATAAATTATTATGCGCTGACGAATTAAAATACAAACCATGGTATTAATGATACTCACAAAGAGTCGAATGACGGTCGTAATGCCCAGACTCCTCTGATTCCATGCATTTCCAATACAGCTTGTTCTGCTATTCCAACCCCATTACGAATGATTCTCAGGGTGCCATCTTCAAACCCACCTGAACACGTTATTATTTGTCCCTATACCAAGTATAAATCGTTTGTTTATATACTATCAATACATAATGTCAAAGGACATTCATCACTTAGATGCTCCATTCTTTCCTACTCACCTGTCCTTGCTTATCCAAGTCGACAACAATAAGATCTGATATTGGAGCCAAGTTCAGGTAATTCTCTACTATTTTTATATACCCACTCCCACTATTATAGTCAGGAGTCAAGTGTATTAATTGTGAATCTCCAAAGTGAGACCCTATGAATACATAACCGTTATCAAGGTAGACAATACATTTAGGAAAAGAAACCTAATGGATGATATTAAGTATCTTTTAGATACCGATCAATCGGTTACGCTTATTGAATGATAAAACCGTTGATCATTTACCTTTCCAAGCAGTTCAAAATCCATCTCTCCAGAATGCGGTATTACAAGTAATGACAATTGTCCGTAATTATCTCCAACCAAAAATTTCGTTTCTGTTGCATTCTCTTCGATAAACGATGCTCTATTAAGTGTCACACAGATTAATATCATCCTTTCCTTAAATCAAATGGTTGACCATAGTGACAGGCGATCAACAATCAGCTATGATAAGAGAAAGCGAAACGTAGAACGCGTAGTCTACACGCTATGAAGGAGACAAATAAAAGGCCTGCTTCCCAGACAAAGTATACCCACGTTTTTACAGGTGTTGTTCTTTTTAGTAGTAGAGTTCGTCGTGACCAGTGTAAATCATAATAGACTATCTGTTCTTCCTCAAAATAGACTAAACCACCTACAAATTGAAACGGCCCGACAAATACAGATTAGTTTTGATACAAACAGAATCCAGTGATTCGTCAGTTAGTAAACTTTGAGATGTCAATCTACTTTCTAATGTCTATTTTGTACTATAATTAATATCCACATGACCTCACATTCTAACGTTATTGTGCCTCAAGCACTACGATGACATTTTCATGGTAATGTTCACTATTTATTCTTTCATCATTATCGTTATTCCTTTTATTTTCTCTCTTTCACTCTAGCCATAATAATGAAATATCACTCACCTCTAGGTACTGCAATAATGAGTTCTACACTCTTGCTGACATTATCAATTTTAAATCCAGCTTCGTGCCAGTCTCTATCTAGCAGATTAATATTATAGGTTTTGATGTGTCGATTGTCCTGACCGTCAAAATAGAGAATTGCCAGAACGGGTGATGGAAAACCGTAAAGAAAGGTCATCGAGATTATTTGGAGTTCTTCAAGTCTGAGAGATAAAAAAGCGTATTAGTTTTTAATTGGAAGTCGTATCATTCATGACGTATTATTGTCTTTCAGCAACTCTGCTCTCCCATCCTGAAAGTTTACCTTAAATCAAATGCTTCTTTCAGAGTTCCAATCTCTGGTGGACTTTTCCTAACAATCGCAGCGCTTCTCACCACCAATTTCCTCTTAACCGCCACACCCGTCTCCATCGGGATAACTTTAAACAACCCCTGATACCAATGCAAACCAATCATCCGACACATTGGATCTATCACACCAAACTGGCCTTTCTCAGCAGGTCGACCGACGCGCTCGTGCAAGTCACCATAAGCTTCCGTAATTATGCGCCGACGAGTTGGATCGAATGAAAGCACGCAGAAATTAAAGCTTTCTGTCGCGACGAAGAGAAGATCAGTGTCGCGATTCTGAATTTGATTTAAGAAAAACAAGAATAAATTCAGTGTCATTTGAGAACGTTAATTGTATTAACTAGTATGAGACAATCAATATACGTAATAAATGCATGCTGTCCAAAGTGAATAAACGGGCAAACGTTTTGATAAATTACATTCGGATGCATAGCTTAATCTCTGCCCTTAGACCGCTCAGGCCTATAAAGATCGGCATCTTAAACTCAGGTTTAGACCGTTCAGGATCTTGAATTACCCATCCGAATACTACTCTATCTACGAACAATCGGGTCTATTTACCTTGGGTTTATAAATCTGAATAACGGATATCTTTCCATGTATCGGTGCTTCAATTACTTTCTTCAAACCTTCTGGCGTGAGTGTCCATATTTCAATTCGTGTTGATTTGCTATTTACGTTTTAAGAAATTTAGTTGTTTGTTTTTTGGAAAAGAAATTGACGAGAAACAAATGTGTTGAAATGGAAATTGGTGAATCAAATTTTCGGTACAATTAGGAATTCGTTAACGTGTCTTCATGTTTCTTTTTCACGCATCTAAATGACTGCGTCAATTCTCTCTCAATCTTGTAGGCAAGAACAAAAACTCACTTTAATATCAGATTTGTCTCGGTCGGTGCTGTAAAGTTTCCCTTGACAGCGTCGTAAACGCTGCTTGGTTTGTGTGCGGTTACTATGTAGTTGTACATGCCGTTTTCGTAATTCAGAGAATATTCTTGAGAATTATCTTATTTTTTGCTTGATTACGAGATCGTCTGTAAAAAAACACTGAAAGAAGTCTATGAATTCAAAAGTTTAAAGTTGACGTGAAGGGTCATTAAAGCTTTACTGAAAAGTGGTTGTGGTTTAGGAATTTGGATCAGTCCATGTACAGAAAGCCGAGACCCATACACGATTGAATCGCGTATCCCTAGTGGAAAGAATGGTGATTTAGGATTGGATGGATAGCAGGGGATGTCAGTAAATTGACGATCTATCAGCGGTTACATTACAGCATTACCGGTCGAATTAGACCCCTGAAATTAATTCCGATATACAGTACATATTAGATAATATTAACATACTCTGTGACAGATTAAAACGACACCGGATTAAACCGACTTTTTTCCTATTTTAATATGAAAAAATTAAAAACTTTTGGTGGGTAATTTTTGAATTTGAAGGGTGGACTCAAGAAGATCCCAAAAGTCGTTCTAATCCGATGTCGTTTTAATCTGTCACAATATTATATGACAAATTATTCATGCCTATTACTATCACTGAAAACGTTGAGCCTTTAAGTTATTTGTTTGATGCGCATCCCATCTTGTTTACTTCTGTGTCAAACCTACGTAACATTGTTCGATGGGAGATGCGCCTCCATATACATACTGGTTTGGATACACTACCTTTTCATAACTTTTTGTGTTTTGATTGTGTCGCGTGTATAGTTGTGAATGATTGATTCTCTTAACTGTATCAAAGCAAGTCGGATGTGAAACAATACTGGAACTTGAGAATTAAAATTGACATTAAAGATAGTGTTTTAGTTCCCGGAAATTTACTATGCAAAATCCGAATGCTAACAATGCTAATAATTTAGACCCCGCACGTTCTTAGTATCTCTGTCAAGGAATACTAATTTTAATTCTAGTAATTTGTTGAGAGAATTTTATGTGACAAAGCAAAGTGGCGCGATCATCAACAATGTAATGCAATGTAGCCAGTATACAGTAATAGTAATGTAATTTGTTATGGAATTCTAATCTATTCATACCATTGTCTCTAGTACTATTACTATATCATTGATTTGAAAATAAATAACTTGTGTTTTTCAAAGTGTTCTTTAATGCGACACTATTACTATCTTACTTGCTATAATAATAATAAGGACACCAAGTTTGGGTATTTTTTTGTAAAAGTATCATTTAAAGCTATGAAGGAAGCAAAAAATGCCACTGATTAACTTCAATGGCTTTTCCATATCACTTATTACTTGCCATTAGACTTTGGATTAAACTTCACGAGCTTCCAATCTCCTTTGTGGTTCAATTTCAATCTATATGAAATTTCTCTATAGTATGTTGGAGCTCAATAGACTCCTTCTAAGATCAATTCCAGTGTCAGAATAATCTGCTGATTCTTCCCATATTAATATTCACCTGTCAACACCGAATTTTGGAGCTACTAAATATAAAATACCAATAGTAATAGCATAATAATAACTGAGGAAATTGGAGAGACATTGGGAACTAGTACAGATATTTACTAATTGTTTATCATTATATTGATTCCTTGGTTTTGCATTAATATTAAATAATTTTTGTAAATTCTAATTATTAATTAATATAGTTGGGAATTTCATATTGTAGTTCTGCAAATTGGTCTTTCATTTATAATTACTTCATCTAATACTAACTATTTTAGGCATTAAACAGAATAGTAATCAGTTTACAATATGAATGAATGCCTTAACATTAAGGATAAGAGCTTAAAAAAGTGAAAGTTTTTACTGAGTATTTGTAGAGAGGTTCATATCTGAAGGTACTGTTATCTAGCTGTGCATGTTGACCATCTGAATTGAAAGCACTTTGTGCAACTTGCCAAAGTTACCAGTCAGGTATTAGTATGTTCTTCAATGGTCTTGAACTATGATGATGTATGTACACATTAGTGGTATAATTGGAGTCTGTACAGACTCCAATTATACCACTTAGTTCGGACTATAACTATCCCATGTGTCATAATCTAATTTTTATGACACGGACTAAGGTGTCGTAATCCAATTTTTATGACACAGACTAGAGATGTTTATAGTCTACATATCGGGTTATTTATAGTCCATGACGTTCCCCTTGCGGACTATAACCATCCCAATTATTGACGCGGAGTTTGCGTTTGCTTCGTCACTCGAGAACGATGTTGGATTTCTGCCGTCACGGTGTCAAACACAGACGACGATGTCAAGATTTGATTATCACAACACATGATGACAGTGTCAAGTTACGACACGCGCCAAGGTGGCTAATTTGTGTCGTCACCCACATGCGACATAATGTATGCCGGTTTAGTAATCGTAACCGATTTCCGTCGCTGGGACGCAAACAAAAAAAAGTAAAAGTACACCGTGCGATTTATACATTCTTAGTAGCAACGGGATTTTTAACTGTAGGGTTGACATTAGATATAATTAATTCATTTTCGAGATCGGAATCAGACTCAGAATCGTAATCCTCTAGCTTTTCTACATAAGTTTTGAAACCCTTTCCAATCTTCTGTATAAAGAGTTTATTGATAGCTCTAGTAGCATAAGTAGCATGAATGTTACAGTCTACTTCCTCAATCTTTCGCGTTATAATATTATCAATAGCTTGAGTTAGCTTACTCTTGTGATCTTGCATTGTTGTCATCTTATATACTGCATAGAATATTTAATAAAAAAATTAATGCAATCGGGACATGCTATCGAGCATATTACATACAGTATATGCTATCTGAACATGTATATGCAACCTATGTCACGTAATTGCTATACACATGCTATCGGGTATATGTTATCAGGCTATGTTATCAGGCTATGCTATCGAAAAAATGCTATCGAGTACGTTATATTAAAGTATGCTGATATTGTTTGCCAGACTTTTTTATACCAGTTAGCGCTAGAAATATGTCCCGATGGCATACCATGAAAATAGTGGGTTAACTTCGACTAAATATATAAGAAGGCGGGTATATAACTATGATGTTACCGATTGCATAATACATCGGCATATACTGCAGAATAAATTAGAAGATCATGGAATTTTCATGCATGATGTAATCATGTATCCCGAAAATCGATTGCGTAACACAGATGTTTGATCAAGCTATATCACAGAAGGTCATGAGACTTTTTATGCATGATGACCCGTTTATTGTTTACAACACTATATATATGTCACATTTAAATGTCTGGTGCATATTTTTCATGATAAACACACGCACTTTTAACTACGGTCATTATGATTTCGCGTATTTTGACTCCGAAATTGTCAAGTTCAGGCGAATACCATGTTCCAACAAATTCCCCGACAGGTGAAGTAACGTCATTGATAGTGATAAGGAAACACCATTATGAGCAATTCTAACCTTCATGCCTTATCCTCGCCTAAATCAGCGATGGACACGATTCAAGGT